CCCATCTCAGTGCGCGTGCCCACCGACTACGCTGGACCTCCCAGGAGCCCAGGTCGCACCGGCCCAGGGAGCAGTGAGGTCCCCAATGAATCCGCGTGGCCCCCGACTCCGCTGGACCTCCCAGGAGCCCACGAAAGTGGTGGTAGTTGGGCAGGTCGCAGCCTCGAGCAGCGATTTCCCGTTTGTTTTCGCGTGGCCTCCTGCTCCGCTGGACCTCCCAGGAGCCCACGAATGTAGTGACAGTTGTGCAGTTCGCAGCCACCCATGGGAGCAGCGAGGTCTCGTCTGGGTCCGCGTGGCCCCCGACACCGCTGGACCTCCCAGGAGCCCACGAATGTGGTGACAGTTGCGCAGTTCGCAACCACCCAAGGAGTAACGAGGTCTCGTCTGGGTCCGTGTGGCCCCCGCTTCGGCCGGACCTCCCAGGAGCCCACGAAAGCTCAGTGGGCCCCGGAAACGGCAAGGCCGTTTTTTCACCGCCTTCGAAGCCACAAATTTTTGAACATCGAAGCTGCAAGAAAACGGCGACTTGATACAATAAAGAATGGCTCCCGGCAAGACAACCGGCGACGGAGCCGGCAACAAAAACGGCGCCGCGGAACCGGCAAGAAAATAGGAAAACGGAGCCGGTAACAAAAATTGCCCAGTCGTTTCCAGGGCCCACTGAGCACGAAAGTGGCAACAGTTACGCAGTTCGCAGCCATCCAGGGAGCAGCGAGGTCTCGTCTGGGTCCGCTTGACCCCCGACTCCGTTGGACCTCCCAGGAGCCACGGAAGTGGTGACGGTCGCGCAGGTTCGCTGCCTCCCAGGGAGCAGCGAGGTCCCCGAGAGGTCTGCGTGGCATCCGACCCCGCGGGGCCTCCCGGGAGCCCACGGAACGGGCGACAGCCGCGCAGCTCCCACAGGCGCGCGCGGCGGCTCCCAGAGGCGGCTGGCCTCTTGCGCGGCGGCCCCCAGAGGCGCGCGCGCGCGGCTGCCCCGAGAAGGGCACTCCGCAGAGAGAGAGAGAGAGAGAGAGAGAGAGAGAGAGAGCGCATGCACTGAGGGGGCGGCGTCCCCTCCCCGACCTTCCACGAGGGCCAACAACAATAGCACCAGGACCTTGGCGTCTGAAGTCCTGTCCAAGTTTTGAGCCATTGCTCCGGGGGGCTACTTTTTTTAAGAAGTCTGGGAGGTCAGGGCTCGCTCTCCAGATGAACTGAGGCCCGTCTGCGGGCCCGGGGTCAGGTGGCCCCGTGTGCCCGTCCGTCACAGCCGCCCCGCTGCGCCCCCCCCCCCCCTCCCCCCGTCGCCCGTTGCATGGCGCTCGCGCTGCATTGGCGCGGCGATAGCACTGCGCTGCAGTGCAGCTCCGCCAGCGCCCGTCAGCGACCGACCGAGCCCGACAGCGCCACGCGAGGGACGCGCGCGAGGTCCGTTTGGCGCGGCACGGGGACGGCCAGAGGAGGCTGCCGCGGGCTGCGCTTCTGCAGTGCGCCGAGAGCTGGGGCGCACCGACAGCCTGCGCCTGCCGAGCCACCCGAAGGTCGATGCCCCGGGCGGGGAAGGAAGGGGGGAGGGGAAATGTTCGCAGGCCTAGAGGTTGACACCGACACCAGGATCGGCGGTGTGCCTCCACCGAGGGGAGACGATCCCGATCTCGGCGATGGTGGTAATGTTCTGGCTTTCACGGCGGCCAGGATAATATTTCCACCAACGTCGAAATCTAGGATAATTTTCCTCGTGTGGAGGCAACCCCTTGTGCTGAGGTTGGTGCCAATTTCCAGACCTCCTACGGAAGCGAGGGCGCCCTCGAGGGCGCGACGTTCTTCGCGCTTCGCGGTTCGTCTCCTCATCCTCCTCATCCTCCTCGTCTCCCCTGGGGAAAGGCGCGAGAGAGCGCGGAGGTATCCGTGCTTCGCGCGGCGCGGAGCGCGGGGCTGGGCGCCCTCTGGAAGGAATTGCGTCCTCTTTCGCTGCAGAGCTTCAGTCTTTGGAATGGAGCCGCTTCGGGCTTTGGAATGGACGTTATTGCCGTCAACCTTTCGGTGACGGTGAGTGCGTGCGTGTGGGCTTCCATGTTGCGCGAATGGGAAGAACGAGGGGGACGGAAGGGGGGGGGAAAGGGGGGGCTGGACGCAGCCCCCCCTGGCCTGGAAAAGCAATCGAAGAAGAAAAAAACATATAAACATAAGCTGTTGGCGCTCCGCGCGGATTTCTTGGAACCGCGCCTGGGCTCCTGGCGGCGCCTCCGGCGCCGGGCGCACTCCGCGCGCCAGGAAGGGGGGTCCAGCGCGAATCCAAGGAATCCGCGCGGAGCGCCAAACGTTCAAGTTCATGTGTTTTTTCTTCTAAGTCACGCGACCTCACGTGATACGCCCCAGGATCCCCAGGAGCGCAATCCGCCATCGGCCCAGGCGGCAAATTGCCGCGCAAGTCGTGTCGGAGCCCAGGTTGGCATCAGGACCACGTGGAATGATCACGACGTCGGGTCTCTTGGCTGAAGTCCCAAAACACACGCAAAGTGTTCAAATACCTAGCTGACCTCTGGTTCCCGCTGATGCAGAGGGCGCATGTCGCAACACGCACAATCTGAGCCTATTGGTTGAAATCGCTGCGTAGCTGAGCGGAGACCTCCCCTCCCTCCCTGGCATCCTCTCTGACCTCATCCTTGTCTGATTGCTATCGTTAGGATCCCAGACCCCCGACGTCGAGATCGCACAGCGTGGAACCCCAGGGTCTGGCCCCAGGGCCGTTTTTGACTGCGTTTTGACGGCCCCAGGGCCCGGCAAGGGCCCCCAGAGGCCAACAATCATGAAACGCCGCCTGTCGTGATTTTTGGCACGGCGCGAGCATATCAGGGATGGAGGAAGGAGGGAGGGAGGTAGGGAGGAGGAGGGGTGAGGAGGCTGGAGGGAGAAGGAGTCGGACGAGAAGGAGTTGCTCGTCTCTTGAAATCTGGATACAGCGCCGTGTACGCAGATGCCAGTGCTGAAGGCTTGCTTGCCTACGAGCCTTGGACAGAGCGGAGGCACGAAACATTGGCTTGCAATGTTGAGCAAACTTCAGAAGCAGTCGTGGTTCGCCGTCGACAGCGTGGAGAACCTCGGACTCCCCTGCCGGCAACTCGTTGGGAGATTTCGTCTTCTGGCTTCCTTTCAGTCGCGTGATGTACGCCGTCGGATGTTGCACAAACTTGCACGCGGTCGCCCCCGGCTTCGGGGCGGAGCCCGCAGCCGGGTCACGGGCTTTGTTGGGTATGTGCGTGATGTCGTGCAACCCTTCGTGGCCCCAGCTGCCGGGATTGTTGAACATATCATGGCGCCAACATCGCAGAGCGGACTTCGTTTGGAAAACGATAGGATGGGCCCGGAGTGTCCTGGAAACGTTTGTTCCGGAGTTCGAGGTGAATTTCGTGCGGATCTCTGTTGGCCAGGAATTAAGACCAACAAAAAACACGCGAAATTCACTTCGTTTTTCGCTTGCCTTTCAGGCAGAAATCCACGCAGAAATCCGCTGCAGCACGTCTGCAAGGCCGGTGCATGATATGAGAGAGTGTGCGCCAGCATCGTTATTTGAGGAAGTTTCCTCCCGCCACGCTTTAAGGCCCAATTCGAAACGTGGAAAACAGAGGCCGTGCTTCGTGTAGGTGGCGCTGGGTCGACACATGCCAGACAGCGCTTGTCTGCTGATGACACCAGTGTTCTTCGAATCCCAGGGAGCCCAGAAACAGCTGGTTGCCACGTCGCAGTAAAAGCACGTCGGCACCGTTACGTGTTCGACTGACCCAGCGTGCCCTGGAATGACTGCGAAAGTAGGGGACATGCAGGGGGTGTTCGGAGAACTGCGTCACAGCGTGCTTCAGCGCGAGCGTTCCCGTTGAGACCCAGCTTGCGCTGTGTGAGGGCAGTGAATTCACGCGTGGTCTGCACCAGTCTAACACTTGGCAGCAGTTATATGCTGCTGAGCTGTTAAGAGAGGGCACGGCTCTGATGCAAGTCAGTTTGCCCGTGTTCTGGGAAGACGATGATGTGCGCTGGGTGTCGTCGGACGAAGTCATTGTGCGGTTCGACGGTTTCACCGCTCCAGCGATCATGATTCTCTGTAGCGCTTGTGCTTGTTCACGCGCGCGTGCCTGCTTCCGCCGCGCATGTTCCGCGCGGTGCTCGCATGCCGTCCGTGTGCGCGCACATCGTGGGTTCAGGCATTGTCGGAGGATTTGGCGTTCCCACTATCACGTGCAGAATCGTTTGCCCAATGCCCGGTTCAGCCGATCGATCGGTGGATCACTGAAATCTGCACACATGCTCAAAACTGCTCAGAATCTCTTCGACAGCTGCGAAGATAGAGCGCGAGGTGAACCGCCCGCACTCATGAGGGAAGAACCGCCGTATGGCTGAGATCATTTTTTTTTACAGGCCAGGACTGTTCCTACACGTGCGCTGCCCGGCAGCAGCTGGCAAGCCATGTTTTTACCGCGCATGGTGTCCGGCGCCGCACAGGTGAGATAATTGATGTGGTGCGTTGCCCCGTGGTCATGCGTACCCGCGTCAGAGTCATCAGTCACCTTGAAAAGCGCTCGGAGAGGTGCCGCGCTGTCGCCATGCAGTGCTTAACACGATTGCCAAACACCGTCGCAGCGGACGATGACAGGCGGGGCGCGGGGGCCGCCAGCGGCCTTGCAAGCAAGGGCCCAGCACCAGACTCACGCCTGCACCCGTGTAGTGTCCCTCACCTTTCTTTTCTTGCCTGCACGGTTGTTTCCACGGACGGACGGGAGCAGGAACAGGGGTCGGAGCTGGAACGGGAGGACCCTGGAGGCTGGAGGGAGGATGTGGCTGAGGACAGGGAAGATGCGGATGGGGGCGAGGAGGAGGAGGAGGAGGAGGAGGAAGAGGAGGAGGAGGAGGAGGAGGCCGAGGAGGGGGAGCAGAAACAGGACGACTAGGAGGCGGCGAAGCTGTTCAGGGCACCTTCGGGCTACCGCCCGCCCCCCCCCCGCGGTGCGCCCGGCGCCCAGGCTGGCAGGCCGAGTGTGCGCCCCGGTTCAGGCGCCAGCGCTTCCCCGGCAGAGGAGCTGCGGCGAGGCGCCGCTCGGCGGGGGGTCCCGCCGGCCGCCGCCGACCGCCGCTGAGCGGCGGCGGTCTTCGAGGATCGAAGCGTCGAGGTTCGGCTTGCGCGATTCCGCCGACCCTCAGATACGGGGAGTCCGCGGTTGAAGCGTCGCGGGTTTCTTGGGCACTCTCTGGGGGTGGGATGGGCGTCCTGGAGCTGTTCGGAGGCTTTGCGGGGCCTTTTCGGAAACAGTTTTCAAGCGTCTTGGGGGTCTCCGTTGGGCCTCTCGAGGGCCTCTTGGTGCTTGTTGGGGGCCTCTTTTGGGCCGCTTTGGGGGTTGTATTGTTGGGGCCTTTGGGGGGCCATTTGGAGCGGAAAGACATGATTTCGGCTCGTGTTTTCCTTCTTTGCATCTCTTGGGACCTTCTTGGAGCGATATTTGGCCATCTTGGAACCCTCGTTGGCCGTCCTGGGGCCGTCGTAGGCGCCTCTTGGGCGGTTTTTGGGTGGTCCGCAGGGCCTCTTGGGCCGCCATTGAGCGTCAGAAGCTTGAAAAATAGCCTCAGGACCCTATGACATATTGGGAAACATTGATTTTTGCCTCTCGGGGCCCTCTTTGGAAGGCTCTTGTGGCGACTCGAATGCGTCTTGGGGCGTTGGGGGGCCACGGTAGGCGTCTTGGGCTAGTGGTTTTGTGATTCTGGACCGTCTTGGAACGTTCTGAGGCCCCTGGGAAGCTCTGGAGTTTTCCGGGGGTGCGCCGTGGAGCCCCGATGCCCCCCCCCCCACCTCTTCATAAAGCGAGATGTTGGACCCTGGGGGAGGGAGCATGGGGGAGAGGGACGCCCCATCATCTCACACGCCTTTTCACCCGCGGCAAGCGGTTTCGGCGGACTTGTTTCGCCCCTTTTGGGCCTCCAGGGGGCTCCTCGTCGCCGCGGCCAGATCCGCCTCGAAATCTTGTCCCGAACGCACCCAGGCATAAATCCGGGGATATGTTTTCGCGAAGAGTAACACATCTCCGACTGATTTGATTCTCAATCTGGGCGTTTTTCCTCCTCGAGCTCGGCCTCTGGATACAAGCTACCCCTTCGGGGAGAGAGTCGGGAGTTCTAGGGTCGCGGCTTCGAAAAATCAGACCGGCGGATGTAAAGGAGCCCAGTTGACATGACCGGCGGTGTTCGGACGCGTTCGCTGGTTCCTGCTGATTTTCTCGCCTCCAGGCGCCTTCCAGCATCTGCGCCTCGCCCGCGGCATGTCCTCGATCGAGGTCGTGGGGGCCGATGCCGGGTCCGCCGCCGGGAGCCTGATTTGGCCCGAGCATGTGGCGGGAGGTTACTGACGATGTTCGCCATCAGGGGCCCGTGCCAGGCCCCAGGGCCGTCGAACCACGGCTTGGGACGGGGGCCAGTCCCCCAGAGGGGGTCCAGGCCACGCTGGGAAGAAGTCTGGATGTCCAGGGCCAGGACCTCTCGGAGCTCAGATCCCAGGTTGGGCTCACCACGAGGCGCTGTGGGGTGGTGAAGAGAGGGGCATGGACGTCCAGCCAACGGACTGGCAGAGCGAGCCTTGCCTGCAGGAGCGGGGGCGTGTGTTGGAGAAGAAAAAACGCCATAAGCATAATTTTTTGGCGCTCCGCACAGATTTCTTGGATCTGCGCTGGGCCCCCCTGGCGGCGCCTCCGGCGCCGCCCCCTGGCGCACGCGCCAGGGGGGGGGGTCAGCGCGGATCCCAGAAGTCCGCGCGGAGCGCCAAAGGTTTCTGTCCGTGCAGTTTTTTCCTGTCCGGCGTGTGACCCCCGAGCCGTCGCATGATCAGGTCCTTCGGCCTGTGCCCTCCCCGATTCGGGATCATGCTTCTGGGGGTTGGCGCAGGGACCCGTAGATCATAATAGGTGGTGCCACAGGGGAAACGCCCCGTGGTTTGGAGCACTGGCCTTCTTGTGTCTGGCACGAACCACGGGGAAGGCTTGTACTCATCGCCTGCGCCAGGTGTTGCATGCACACGTCTAGTGGACAGGCCCGAGGACTCCGCCATCAGTGCAAAGGCCCTCCGTCCCGAGACCCGTGTGGCATTGGCCGCCGTCACGCTTGGTCTTGCATCGTGCAAGGAAAACGCCCCAATAGTGGCGTGCCGCTGGACTGGGTGCAGCTGGGAGAAGACTCCTGATGTGTAACGGCTCTTTTGTCATTCAGCTTCCCCGAGTCGGCAGCTCAGGCTGCCTGCTGCGGGGAGGGGTGTGTGCAGTGTGGCTTGGTGGTGTTGAAAACTCTCCTCCCTCTCCTCCTCCTCCTCCTCCTCTTCTTCCTCCTCTGTGATGTCTGTGCTCCTGAGGCCTAATAATTAAATGCAGGCCTATGTTGGCCACAGTCGTTTCGATTCGCATTGGCGTTTCGTTCCGCAGCCGGCTTGGGTCATATAATCGCGTAGTGGAACAGAGTCCGCGTCTCTTATTTCCGATCTTATCGATTTCGCAGTTGGCAGCGGAGCCGTGGCTCTCCCCACGGTAGCTGCGCACCCGCTACAGTTTCGATTTCAGAAAGCTGAGCACCAGCTGCAGTTTCAGATTTCACAATGCCGCCGCCATGCCACAAAGGGGCTCAAGGAGAAACTGGGGATGGAGAAAATGGAGAGCCGACGCGAGTTTCAACACGAGTGGATCGGGGCCCAGAGCCGTTGTTCACGGAGCCGACGGACGAATATTTGTATCGGTGGTATAGACGAAACCTGCTGATTTGGCAGGCCAACCACACATCAGAAGAAAAACGATTGGCGGTGTGGTTCTCAGGAATCTGCGAGGTCAGGCTCGACTCGCGTGCGAGGAGGTTGTTGACGAAGACTTGACGGGCGTGAACGCGGTCGAGCTGATCTTTCAGGCCTTGGATAACGCGCCTCAGTATCTCAAGGAGGAAGAAGTTCCCGAGGCGCTCGAGAAAGCTCTCTATACGTGCGTGCGTGACACTAAGAAGGAGAGGTTCACGACGTTTGTGAACAGACGCAGGCTCGAGTTCATCGCGCTCGAGGGGCTGAAGGGTATGCTGCCGGACGAGCTTAAAGGATACAGTACATTGCGTTTCGCGAGGCTTGATGAGAGGCCTTATGGCAAGGCGAGTGGCTGGGCCGACGGTGGCTACAATTTCGAGCAGATCGCGACCAACCCGGTGGCTCTCATCAGGCTCTCATCAGGCTGGACCGACCCGGCCGACGAGCTGGACTACCGAGACCAACGACAGGTCTGGCTTCGCTTTCGTTTTTGGGGGATTTCGATGACAAGAGCACATCACCCCGGCCACCTCCGATCGACATGGCCGCGACGGACAAGTCAGACGAGCTAGGTGCGTTCGCAGAATAAGTGAATTGATGCGATGACGATGGCTGTGAGGACGGCGAGGGCGCGCTGCAGATCCCAGGGTCGGAGGCAACTGAAGGCGCATGCTACATTGATGCTGAGTGGCTAGACGGGGCGATTGAAGAAGAGGATTTACCGTGGTCGCTGATGGACATGCGGCCCGCGATGAGCTACCCAGTCGAGTGCAAGCAAGTCCAGAACCAGCTGAATTAGGGCCGAAAAGCCACAGGTTTCTTCGAGCCAAAGGTCAAGGGCACAGGCAAGCATGGGCATGGACAGGACAAGGGCAAAGGCAACGGCACGCAGAATGAGCGTAGGTGCATCTCGTCCGACCAGTTCAAGCTCAGGGCGAAGTCCGCAAAGTGCAAGCAGGTTGGCCAGTGGGGGCGTGAGCCCCCACATAATCGACATCAACAGCGCCCTGCCCTTGAAGCTTCCACTACGCATACGGCGAGCGGTAGCAACCGGGCGTTCGATATCATTATGCCGAGGCCAGCTGCGTCTGCGACCGGAGGTGCCGTGATGTTCTTTGTCGGAGTCATCGCCGCATCCATCTGGTTCGCCATCAATGCGCCTGAGGTCCTCGTGGGCACGGGCGCTCGGGGGGGCATCGTCGGCGCGGGGCAGCTGAAGGGGCTCGTTGACATGATGTGGAGTTCAACTTGCAGCCGCGGTGGGTGCCAGACAACGGACCCCCCCTCGCGGCATCGGTGGCGACGCTAAGGTCATTGGCCGCGCGGGGGTCCCCGTGGGCATCGCAGGCGCGGGCGGGATTGTATCATTCCGTGCTCTTGATGAGGAGGTGCCTGCGCTACTCCCAGTCGGTCTCACCAGAGCGCTGGAGATGGATCTCAAGCTGCGCGGACTCGGCGACTGGGCTTTTCTCCACAAGTTCGGCGCTGGCACAAGGCTGCGGAACATCGGGCAGAATGGCCACGCGGCCATCAGCATCATAGAGCTTGCGCCTGGTGGATGGCGCGAACCAGAGACCGAAACAGAAGAGAGAGAGAGAGAGAGAGAGAGAGAGAGAGAGAGAGAGAGAGAGAGAGAGAGAGAGAGAGAGAGAGAGAGAGAGAGAGAGAGAGAGAGAGAGAGAGAGAGAGAGGAGAGAGAGAGAGAGAGAGAGAGAGAGAGAGAGAGAGAGAGAGAGAGAGAGAGAGAGAGAGAGAGAGAGAGAGAGAGAGAGAGAGAGAGAGAGAGAGAGAGAGAGAGAGAGAGAGAGAGAGAGAGAGAGAGAGAGCGTCATTGGCTGTCGTGGACACGTCGCCATCACCTTCGCTGCCGCCGATATTGTTGCCATCGCCGACCTCAGCGCCATCAGCGTCGCCAGTTACAACGTCGCAGACAGCGCCCACGGCACCGCAGAGCGAGACTACGGCAACCCCAATGGCATCAACAGCATGTAAGGCAGCATCAACGGCATCACAGAGCACAACGTCGGCACCAGAGGAGCAGGCAACCGCAACGGTAGCAAGCAGATGAGAGGGGAGCTACGACAAGCACACAGAGAACAAGCTCAAAGCATCCAAGAAGAAGGCGCCCAAGCAGATTCCAAAGAAGGTCACCCGGAACCCAAGTTGCGACCTCTCGGAGCCACTTGCGTCCAACTCCAGGTTTCTCGGCAGAGGCCGACAGCGACGCCGTATTCGCTCAGCCCAGTCCTCCGATTTCGGCGGGGGCATC